GTGATACTATATATATATATATAGTATCGAATTTATTTATCAGCACAAATAAAACACACACACACACACACACACACACACACACACACACACATACACACACACACACACATATTATATATATAATACTGCAGATTCAAAAATGAACCATACAAGCCTCTGGCATTTAAAGATTTTAAATTAAATAAGCTCCTTAAGCTTCCTTTTTCCAAGCAGCTTAAATATTTTTCTCTTTCCTTTACATTCTCACAGCAGCCCAGGGGGAGGGGAGAAAAGAGAATGGCAGGGTCAAGATCATTCTAATGTCTACAAGGCACCACATTCCTTTGAAAGAATGTTTTATTTCTCTTAATTCACACTTAAAACCTTCCATTTTAAGATGGGAAATAAAACATGATATATTTCAGTTCAAATAGAACTGATCTGAATCCAGCTAGCTGTTTCTTTGTTTTAAACTCTGACTTTTACTAACTACAAACAACATTTGTTATAATTAATGGGGTTGTAATACCCAGCTAATCCAATAAACTTTAAATTTATTTAAATTACTGAGATTACTCAATTATCAATTTACAATGATTGCAAGGGAAGCTAGCATCCAACACACTGCCTTTTTAAATTGAAAACTAAATCCCAATAATTTTGTGAGATATGAATCTCTTTTTTACATTATGCCATTTCTTTCTGGCTTTTAGTTTTTGTAATTTGCTGAATATAGAGTCCATGCCACTCACTTCTACTTTATTACCATGAACTCTGGGCTAATAATTCAAATGTTATTGATCTAGTCCTTGCTGGAATGTATTTGGGGTATAGCCATACTTGCCCAGACCCCACTTATCTCATTGCAATCTGCTTTCTCAACCTGTTTGTGTGAAGGTTTACTTTTCACATTAATCCCCCCTGAACTTAGATTTCAAAAATAAAGAATAGTGATATATTTAAACACCTTTTATTGTAACCTTTTTCTTTACATTGAAGAAATTGAATTGAGGAAGCCTAGAATGCCACTGGATCCCAATAAGATCCATGTTAATTGAACAGTCTTTTCAGTTCTACTCTTGAAAAATTGAGAAGTGATGAACTTGGGGAAGGATGGTGGATGCTGTTGCTGATATCAAATTTGTCTTTCCCACAATTTCTCTTTACTACAGGAAAATATGTTCACTCTCTATTAACCTGGTTAAGAATAATTTCAGTAGTACTTAAACACAGGTAGGATTACAGTCAAATAAATATCTCTGTTTGAGATCATTTTGGTTTTTTTCTTTACCAATTTTCTTTTTATGTTCAATAAAATTCATTTCCCATCCAGAATTCACTATGTATAAGAAAGGGAGCAATGGAAGAAGATATTTCGGGGTGATAAATGAAGAATTGCAGGAGAAGAATGACAGTGGTAGTACAATACAGAGAAATGAAGGGGGGAGGATGTGGACCATCTCCAAAAATGGTCCACATCCCCCCACTTCTAGGAGTTAAAGTGCCAGAAGAGATTCCTGGAACATTACCCAAGAAAAATGAAGAGCAAGTCTCATTGCATATGAATGTTGGAATTACATCATGATCAAGAATTGGTTAGCACCAGGTAGACATGAATCGCATGGATTTTTGTTGAAACATCTGCTTAATCTACATCCACGTGTTGCCAAGCAGTTAACAACATGATGCAAATAAGTGAAATTGTTGCTAATATCAGGCAAAACCTACTGGAAGAAGATCTAGGGGAAGTCAACTGCAAGACAATTACCTACTTACCTACAACTTCAAATTGCTAACTGGTATGGTAGCTGATACAGTCCAACAGCATCTATTTGAAAACAAACTCTTTCCACTTGAGCAGAAGGGAAATCATCCAAACACCAGAAGAACCAAAAAAAATGTCAACTTCTAATTGACAAGACATTTTTGATAAACTGCAAGAGAAGGAATACTAACTTGAATATACTGTATCATGAATTGTCTACAAAAAGGCATTTGATTCTTTGCCAAATGGCTGGATAATCAAGTGCCTAGAAATAATAGAAGTCAGCTCTGTGCAAAGATTGAGGGCACATGAAAGACATGGTCGCTAGATTGAGAGAGGTTACTTTCAAGATATGAATCTTCACAGGAGACTTACTTACATCACTACTGTTTATCATTCCACTGAATAACTCAGAACATGCTATCAAACATTAAAAACATCTGCCAGACTATCCCATCTCCTTTACATGGATGGATTGGAAGAATAGCGAAGGATAGTGAAGATGATGCACTGAAGTTAATGCACCAGGCCTACCAAGTACTGGATAAAACAAACTGGTCTACATGAAAGATCAAATGAAGAACAGAAAAGAGGGTAAGACAAAGCATTACATGACCAATACATTGAAAAAAATAGGAGGCAAGATAATAATAGATCTAGCAATGACTAAGGAGGAGCTTTGTTATGACTTCACAAGACCATCCAAACCCAGAATTGAGAAGACAGCAACAGACAGCAAGTGCCACTTGTTCAAAAAAGCCAAACAGTGGATTAGTTAACTGTTGCAAGAAGACCACAAAGTAGCAATATCTGTGCATTGGAAGATCTGCAAGAAGTTTCATTTGCCTGCAAAGAAGAACTAGTAGGACCATAAAATAGAGCAAGTAATAGAAAATGAAGGTGCTAAAATATTCTTGGATTTAGGCTGCCACATAACACCTCATACTTAACAATTATTGGTAAGAAAAACGAACATCTGGGTAACAGACGTTGGCAGTACTTGGGGATATTAGAATAGACGATAATGAACTGGAGAAAATAGCAATATATGAACACCTGCAAATAGAAATAAAATGACTGTGGCCATAGAAAGGAAAATTACTATGAATATTCATAGGCACTTTGGGTGAAATCTTAAAACAATGGAAGCATCATGGTAGTGATCAGAGAGCCATGTTGGTGCAGTGGCTACTTCTGCTGATGGTTGATTACCGGCAGTTTGAATATCACCAGTTCAAGGTTGATTCAGCATTCCACCCTTCTGAAATCAGTAAAATGAGGACCCAGATTGTTATGGGCAATATGCTGACTCTGTAAACAGCTTAGAGAGTGCTGTAAAGCACTGTGAAATAGTATATAAGTGCTTCTGATATTGCTATTATTGCCATTGATAAATTAGCCATCAAACTATAATTTCAAAGGGCAGCTTTACTTAGAACAGGGGAGGACCATGGATCCTGTTGATCCTAAAGAAGTAAAGAGAGCAACTTGATAGAAACATACAACTATCATTACCTAGGCACTGAAGCATTTTTTAAGTCCTGGCAAATGTGATAATGTTCAGAAACAATGCAAATACACATTCTCCTTCAAGGATTAATTCACCAACATGGACTCATCCATGTTGATCCTCATTCAAAACGTTTTACTACCTAATCTGTGGACATGGCCTATTTTGTGGACATGGCTTGATGGTCATGTGACTGGGTGGGCATGGCCAACTTGATGAAACTCACCAGGAGATGTCATGGATTGGGTAAAATGTGGTGAAGCTCATTTAACAATTGTCTTACTTAGCAACCAAAATTTTGGGCTCAATTCTAGTCATAAGTCAAAGACTATCTCTGCCTTCCTCTGCATGGCAGTCTTTTCCTAGTAAACTCCTTCCTCTTTCTGGCAATTTTCCTCTCTGTTAGAGGGAGAGGGACCAAAATAATCCAGACAATGTAAGGTTTCCTGATGCAGCAAGGGATTAGACTAGATGACCTCTGAGTAGCCGTTTAGCTGTAAATTGCTGTGATGTTTTTTGTTCCCTCCCTTATTTCTTTCTTTCTTTCTTTCTTTCTTTCTTTCTTTCTTTCTTTCTTTCTTTCTTTCTTTCTTTCTTTCTTTTTCTTTTTTCTCCCTTCCCTCTCTTTCACTGTGAAAGGATGCTCACAGCATCACTTGGGTCACCTACAGTAGAAATATAGAATTCGGTGTCATCATATATATATATATCTCAACCCATGGTGATGGAGGATCTCACCCAGTGGTTTCATATAGATGTTGAAATGGAGTGGAGATAGTACCAACCCTTGTGGTACACAACAGAATAGCAGCCACGGGCTGGAGCTCTCACTCCCCTCCTATGCCACAAAGAACCCAAACCAGCACAAACTGTGCACCTCATCCCCATCCTCTGCAGCCAGCCCAAAAGAATGGTTGATTGTGGTTGATGGTATTGAAAGCCACCAAACCACTAAGAATCAAGGAGAGTGAGGATAGTTGCCTTACCCCCATCTCGCTCTGTCCAGAGATCATTGACAAGAATTACCAGTGCCATTTCCATCCCATAATTAGGCCCCAATCTTATCTGAAAAGGGTCTAGGTCAGCGATGGCAAACCTTCTTTGGCTCGCATGCCATAAGGGGGGAGCGCAGGGGGGGTCATGCGCGGGTGTGCCACACCCATAATGCAACGCGCAACCCTGGGCATCTCACATAGACTTAAATTAATTAATTCCTGAAGAAAGTAGTTATGAGACATATTGTCTCTATCAGGAAAATGCAATTTATCTACAGCTTCTGTGATTTTTATCCCAAAGACATGAGAAAGACATGGAAAGGCATTGATTAATCCAAGGCTAAGAGGTTTTGCTATGGTTACCAATTAAAGAGAATAAAGCAAGTAGAAAGTCCTTTAAAAGGAAACAATACTCTATATTTTGTCATAGACTTACACTTATCTTTGTTCCATCATTATCCAAGTCTCTCTCTGGTAATAGCTCCACCTGTTGGGGAATGAATAACTGTTTTACATATTAAAGGTAAAAAATTTCTTATGTAAAAAACGAATTCCATCACTTCTCATTTCAAATCACTCCAAATTGCAATCTATAGGACTGTAAAACAAGAACATCTAACAATTATGGTATTCACAGGCTTTCAAGTGTGCTAAAATGCTGCTAATCTGTACCTTATTGCAAGATTGAGTCATTGCTTATATAACTAGACATATGGTACACTAAGTGACTGCATAGTATCCATATGAAATGATAGTGAGAATCTGCTAGGGTTCCGTCTAACATCTCTCACCTATTTTCTACACCTGCTTTTCCTACTTGTTGCATAATGTGATAATGGGTCTTATCCTAAAATTTGTTATGAATGTGTTTGTCATTTCATAGTTAGGAGGTTACATAGTTAGTGGGCTACTTTGCTGTAACTCTAGTAATTACAGCAAAGTAGAGGTAGTCTACTATTAAAAATCTGATGGTAATTGGCAATAACCACCCCTGCTGCTTGTGAGCATCCCAGAGCCATCTGGTTGATTACTATGGGCATTAGAGTATCTACACACTTGAATAAAAGAATGTTGCTTCAAAGAATGTCCTTACCTCATCCCAGGGACTAGCAGAACTCATTCATGTCCATATTCTCTTAAATAACTACACTGGTTAATTAAGCCACACTGGTCCACCACAAGAGATCATGGTCCATAAACGTCAGTGAAGAGGCCTTCATCGTGCAGTAGCTTAATTTATATCCTTATGAAGGTTCTTCCATTTTTTTCTTTTCAGTGCTATTATTGTGACCAATCTAGTTTACCAATATTTTTAAACTAGACCTGCAGATTAGGTATTAAACAAAACAAAGCAAAACAAAAACTCTGAAATACATGGCAAAGATTTGTCTGGGGAGATAGATCCAAAGAATGATCTATATGGAGCCATGCACTTCCTATAATTATCAGGCACATGCTGTGAGCTGACATGTTTACTCCACTAGAATTACTTTTATAAACAATTCAGAGAGAAGGAAAAAATAAGTTTATTATATGGTTGTGAATTTATCAGTGAGCATGTGAGATTCAGAATTGATTCTGCACATTACTGATAGATAAATAAGTAATAATAAGTATTCAGTGTAGAGTTTATTTTAGTTTACCGTAATATGAAAGAAATGTATAACCTCAATCCATTTCTCATCGTTACCACTTAAAATAAAATAAAAAAATCTTGAATCCTGAGGCTGAATGGATAGGTCTGGGAATAGTTTGAAAGGACCCAATATAATCTGGATCAAATCTGGAAGCCATAGAAATATTTTAAAAGTCCAGATAATATCCTGTATATAAAATTAATTTTATGGAATAATTTACAACATAGCAATAGCACTTAGACTTATATACCCCTTGATAGTTCTTTACAGTCCTCTCCAAGTGGTTTTCAGAGTTAAGGGAACAGTACCTTATCTCCTTCCCAGGATGTCCTTCACAACATCTTCACACCTGTGGATTAGCTCATTAAACATCGGACTGAGGGGAGTGGTTTCTAACTCCTTTATCCTAACATAATTGCCTAAGGGGACCTTAGAGCCTGCTTTGCTTTTGTCTTGCGATCACTTCCTTTCAATAAAAGGTTCATTTTGAAATGCTGCTGTTTCAAGAGTCTGTACTTTCTTGATTTGGGGAGTAGAGGAAGGACCTTACAATGACACTGAAAAAAGTTACTTATGACCATTTTTCACAGTTATGACCTTTGTATTATTGAAATGATCATGTGATGAAAATTCAGATACTTGACAACTGGTTCATATTTATGAACATTGCTGTATCCCAAGTTCATGTGATCTCCTTTTGCAAGCAAAGATAATGGGCAAGCCGGATTCACTTAACAACCAAGTTACTTGGTTGTGTGATTCACATAACAACTGTGACTAGAAAGGTCATAGAATGGGGCAAAACCCACTTAATAAATGTCTCACTTAACAATTGAAAATTTGGGTTCAGTTGCAGTCGTAAGTCGAGGATTACCTGTAGTTAGATAGATACTTTGATTAGCTACCTCTTACTTTGATGATATTTATGAATTCTGAAACTGGATATAACAAAAACATTGTAGAGTGGAGTATATTGAATCTGAAAGATGAAAACATGTATTTTCTATTTTGTTTCAACATAAGAAATAAAACTGACACGGAATATATTAAGTTCTTTCTAAAATTATATGTTTTGTATTGATCAAATTTAACTCCTTTAAGAGTCTACATCTTAAATGAGGTGTTACAACAGGCGCTAGGGATGGTAAACAACTCAAACTGTATATTATAACCTTTTAAATGGAATAACAAAAGTATAAGAATGGCAAAGAAAAAGAATACTATGTGAACATATACCTATAATTGTATGTAAGAGAATAAATGACAGTAAGAATATAAAACACAATATAGGTAAACAATATTTTGTTATAAATAGCTAAGTATAAATAAATGTAGAATTGTACATAAAAATGGATAATGAATAAGGAGACCATGAATGCAAGATAGAAATGTATAGAAGGGAAAACACTAACTGTATAGAAACCGATACGGAACTGCTGTATGATATATGATGGAACTTCTTGTTCCTATGTTGTGTTAAGTCATATGTTTGTTTTTGTTGATGTGTTTATGTGTTTAAAATAAAAATTAAAAAAAGAGTCTACATCTTTTACTCATGCTTAGAAATAATAGGTCTTTTAAAGACTGTTATTAATGAAATAAAAAGCCAGGATTCTATTCCTTGGGTTTATTGCTTGCTCAGAAAGTTTTTTTTTTAACTTCTCCTAGTAAGTGAGTATATTACATTTCTGGTGAAAACCAGGTCTGTTCCCTGAATCTTTACTTTCTAGCTGCTTGTACCTGAGCTTCCATCACCTCAGCTCCAGCTTCTTGGTCCTCAATTGCCTTCAGAAACCACCATTGGATTTCCAGGTATACTGAGGCAGAGCCACTCTGGAATGCACAAGACATCTCCACATTCTGCCCCTCAGTGGCTGTGATATCCTGAGGAAATTCAGTAAATTTGGCTGGAAAAGAAAAGCAGGTTTCATTAGGATTCTTTCTCTCTTTCTCTGTCTTTACTTCCCCTTTCTATTCATTTCCATTGTTTCCCTTTTGAGGAATATGATCTTATACAGATTTACATGGGAATAAATTGCACTGCATTCATCAAGATCATATTTATAAATGTTCATGCAGGTATTGTGTTATGTACCCGATTAGTTGATTGAATAGGACTTAAACCTAACTAAGCACACTTAGGATTGCAGTACTGTCTTTCCCAATTTTCTTTTTTCTTCTTCTTATACTAATTTCATGTCTTTTTTGTTCTCTGAATTATTAATAATCACTTTTATTTTTCTTCTTCTATATTTGTCTAAGGACCACTGCTATCCATGGGCAAATGGAAAAACTAATTATAGAAATATTTGCATAATCACATATAATGAAGCACAAATATTGTATGGAAGGTAATATGTCAATATTTTTCCTTAGGGATTAGTGAAATGTATCAAGCAATCCAAAACTTTATTTTTCATGTATTTACCTATTAAGGATTAAGTAATTATCAGAATAGTATGATTCTTTCTTTTATATTTTTAAAAACAAGATTTTAAAAGTGTGTTAAGGCATTTATTTGTTATAAAAATTCCTGTGGTTGGATCCTACTTAATGTCACTCTCAATTTTGTTTGAAATACCACACTAAATAAAAGTAGATAATATTTAGTTTAGAAGATTCAAACACTAGAAATACTTTGCTTCATTAGTTCAGTCCCAGCACTCCAGTATGGCTATCTCTTTGAAAAACACAAAATAATGTTTCTTAATACGTATGTCAGAGAAAAATCATCATAGGTCCATTATATTCCCACAGGAATATTGGTAAAGTAATCTGTTTAATTAAGTCACCACACATCTTGCTTTCAGTTTTCAGACAGTAAGCACCAGTTTGACCACTTCAGTCCTGTGATATTACAGATTCACAGTTGACATGTTGAAAAGTCTTCCATAATAACTTACACATAAGTGCTAGATTATATCGGGTGGCTCATTGCTGTATAATTGGAGAAAATTTTTGATTGCTATTCACTTTTTAAAATAGTTAAATTGCAAACAGCCACAGGTAGGTCTCTCCCTCTCTCTCTCTTTCTCTCTCTCTCTCTCTTTCCTCCCCCTCCTCCCTCTCTTTCCTTTGAAAAGACAGTCTCCCACACTATCTCCCTCCCAATCATTCACTAGTATAGAAACTCATTGCTTGTAAAAAAAAAAACCATATTCCTCGTGGCTGCTGTTCCCTCACTCCTGCCCCATCTCTGTCTAATGTGTAACTAATAAATAAGCTAAAAATTGCTAACGGCATTTCTGATTATCTGTAGGGTATTCGGAGGAGTATCCTGATACGATTTCTGTCTATGGTACTGAAATCTACACTGCAGCCTTTAAGTCTCAAACATCTGGATGGATTCTGCAGAGCAGGGGCTACTTGAAATGCAGATGGTGCCTTTGTCAGAATGGTTTGGGCCAGAAAACGGAGTGGTCTTTGTAGAAATACACACAGAAACCAAGAACATGAACATAGGATTATAGAGGAAAACAGAAGAGAAGGAGGGGATAGAGGAAAGATTGATGTTTTAAAAGGACTATACTATTTAGAGCAGAAAAACAAATTCTCTTTCCCACATGCTTCAGCATCCTGAATTCTGAACAGAAGGTTTGAAAAATTACATACATAACCGCTTTGCTTTGAAATCAAATGAATAATCTCTTTTTAAATGAAAGTACTGCTCAGATATGAACAGCAATACACATATATAAGATTTCTGTGCTATCTTTGTGTCTGGAAATGGAATGCACATATTTATATTGTACTCACTTCTGGTGAACATATTCACCCCCTTTTAATGGGCTTTTAAAATAAGATTTAAACAAGGAGATGCAAGGAGTGCTTACTTCAATATTCTTTTTCTCTCTACCAGATCTCCAGTCTTGATAAATGGTGGCTCTTACCTTGAGAAGAAAGTCCTTGCTGGATGTACAATACTGTGAAGACATAGAATCCAACAGAAGGCCAAAAGATGCCCATGATTCCAAAGCGAGAGGGGACCAGAAAGTCACATCAGGTAATGCCAGAGAGCCACACAATCACACAAGAAAAGGAAAGGCAAAGAAAAATGGGATTGGACACCAGAGCCCCAATTGTAACACTGCCAGTGTTCTCCTGGAAAAACTGGAAAGGGGAAGAGCAGCTTCAGATGGATCTGGTAAAAAGAGGGAGAGGAAAAAAGAGACAGAAAAACAAACAGAGAGAGGCTAATTGTTCAGATGTCAGATGTCCAGATCCAGCCTTCCTTGAATTTGGAAACGGATTCTTCAGAGCACCTTTTGTTGCTGCAACTTGGCAGTTCAATCAGCCCCTGCTGCTAAACACTGCATGATGAGTGCCCTCTCTAAACACTGTGCCAGCTTGAAAAAATAGGGAGGGAGATGAGAGCCTGGTGTTGTTTGTCGCACTTCAACTTTTCCCCTTCTTTGCCTCTCAGCTGTGCTGATGGCTTTAACGCTGGCTTCTCACTAGCGTTGTCTCTGTCTGTCTGTCTCTGTCTCTCTCTGGCTCCCCTCCCTCCTCGCTGTCTATGGTGCTGAAACAAACATGAGGAGGAAGCATATAATGGGGGATCATTGCAGAGGGCACAAGCATTGATTGCATTAATGGAGGAATTTTCTGCACCCCTCCCATTCTAAACTGAGGTTTCGATGCGGCAGTTTCATTGATGAATCTGTTTCCATTCTTTTTCTTTCTCCCTCTCTTCTACATGCACACCAGAGGGGATATAATTAAAGAGCCAACTGTATTTTCTTCTGCTGCTTTTGTGTTGTATGTTTCACATTGTAAGCTCTGATATATCACAATGGTAGCAGAAAATAATTTTACAACCTTATGAAGTCAGAATCCTGATACGAAACAGATTCCCTCTTAGGAATTATTTTCAGTATCCCTTTTTGAATATTCCTAGGTTATAAAAAGTTGGTTAAAATTATAGAAGGGTGATTGACTTTTTTCATGATATTTTATATTTTTATATTTTTCAAACATATCTTCTGAGTGAAAAATAATTTAAATTCTGACTGTGAGTTTCTGAATTGTATTTTCATATACCAATACCAAGGGGTGTGGTAGTTCAGTGGTAAAGATGCTGAGCTTGTCAATTGGAAAACTGATAGTCTGGGTTCAAGACCTGAGTGCTGCACAATGGGGTGAACTCCAGTTACTCGCCCCAGTTCCTGCCAACCTAGCAATTTTGCTACTCATATTTGCTACGCATGCAAATGTGAGTAGAAAAATAGGTACAATTTCAGTGGGAAGGTTACAGCAGTCCATGTGCCTCAGCTTATAGTCATATCTTCAGAAATATCTTCAGACAACACTGGCTCCCTTCGCCAAGAAAGGGAGATGAGTATCACCCCCTAGAGTCAGAAATGACTGGAAGGGGAAAGCTTTATTTTTATCTTTATATCAATATTAGAAAAGGGGAATATCTTGGGAACAAAATCCCAGGTGACATTCATTCAGCATGAATTGATAAATACCATTTCAATATCCACTAATGAAAATAGCTGCACAATACACATATATTTAAGGCTAGCAGAAAATATCTCAATATCTGATCTATTCCCTTTTTCATATATAATGTCACAGCTCCTTTTAAATAATTGCATTTTTCAATTCTTATATTGCACTTGGGAGTTTCATTCCATCAGGTTTCAGTAATGCCTATTTTATCATGTCTGGCTTCCTGCATTAAAATTTTAAGTTCTTCCAGTTCATAAAAGAGACTCTGAAAATCTTGAGTCGTGTAACTTGTTCTGTATGTTTCACTGTTCAGAAAGAAAATCATATACTTATAAAACAAGCTAAAGGCAGCTAATATTTTTGCTACAATAAGACAATTTCAATAGTTCCCAGTAACATCATAGTTCACTGGGTGCCAATATTTGATATTAAAGATAGGTACCCCATTCAGTTTTAATAGCCCCCTCCAAAGCAGCATGCTGGAGGAATTGAATTCCACTTCCTCACAATGCCTAGGCATGCTAGCATAATTATTCTATCAGCTGTGCTTCATTACATTCCCTACAATGGGTTGCTTTTCATCATCCTAAATATCACCATACAATTAGGAATATTAAACAATGAAAGATAAATAACTCTGATTTGGTTACACTGCTTGAATTGGCACACTCTAGTCCTTTTCATAGGTCTTTAAATCTAATCATTTATATTTTAAGCCTTCACCACTGTTATTTAAGAATTGATCTTGTTTGAATTGATTTGAATGTAATTTCAAATAAAAGCAGAAACATAAAAATTGACTTGATGATTCATATAAAATATAATATTCAATGCTTCCAGCAATTATTATCTCATTTCTTTTCTACACTTTTCATTCTGATTCTTGGCTTTTCATCTCCAAATGTTCCTAACTCCCCAGATTGCTATTAAACCTAATCTGACCACAAATCTTTATTGCCTTTATGTAATTTTAATTCCAGTAAAAGTTTTCTTTTACATTATATTGATGTCAGTAATGTTCTTATTATTCTTCATTAATTGAAATGACCGTCAATATTTTGTGCCAAAATGCCAATTCACTCAAAATCAACATAATATTATTATTTTTTTCATTTTCTCCATGTGTAGAAGGAATCTGGAAGAACATCTGGAATACCTAGTGATTAAGCTATCCTTTCCTAGTTCACTTGAGAGATAGGGAATACTAGCTATTTTCTGTTCCACAATACAGTTGAAGGGTTGGAGGGTGTGAGAGAACTTGCAATAGCAATAGACAAAATGAACTTACTGGAAATTGGTAAGAATTTATGTTAAAATCCAGACTAGTAGCCATAAAAGCAGCAAAACAGCTAAAAACATAGAATTATAGGGCTAAAAGGGACCTTGAAGTTATACTCCAACTCCCTGCTCCAGGCAGGAGATTGCATCCTGGACAAATGTCTGTTCAGTCTTTTCTTGAAGACCTCCAATGATGGAGCACTCACAACTCTGAGAGATAAGCTGTTCCACTTATTAATTGTTCTCACTGTCAGGAAATTTCTCCTTAGTTCCAGATTGGATCTCTCTTTAATAAGCTTCTACCCATTGTTTCTTTTCCAACCCTGAAGGGTTTTGGAAGATAAGTGAACCCCTTCTTCCCTATGATTGTCTCACAAGTCATTCTTAACTGGGACCTAGCAGCAGGAGAGAAAAAAAGACTCTGCTGCAACTGAATAAAGGTGCATGAACCTTGAAGATGAGTACCAAGTTCATGAGTACCACATGAACATGAGTACCAAGTTCCATGTTGTAGTAAAACAGTAAGTCCAGATAAGGATAGAGAGAAAAATGTTGCTGTCAGTCATATTCCTGTCTTACAGTATTGCATCATTTTTTTCATTTTTCTTTCAATGAATTGCTTTAATTTATTTAGATGTAAATGTCAGAAGAATAATTTGGGCTTCCAAGTGAAAATGAAATCCAGATAGCTATGAGGAAACGTGTTCCTAAAAGCAAGGCGGTTTGCCTCTGGGTGTAGCTACCCAGAAAATTAGGTACAGAGAAATTGTTTTATAGGAGAACTGGTACTTGGTGTGGGCTTGAGGGGCATGCTAATCCTAGTGTGTGACACTAAGGGACATGAGTGTGTGTATATGTTGACCAGGAAAAGGAGTTGATTAAATCAAAGCATGCAGATTGAGTCTCTTCATTTGAACTGTGAGCATTATAATTATGTCTACATTGTGTTAATTGAGTTCTGTGTGTTTGCTTGTTTGTGTTTACAATTTGAAATAAGTGTTAAATTAATTTTTATGCTTGTTAGGAGTTTAAAAGATTTTAGAGGCTGTTTTCAGCAATTTTGTTGGAGATCTGGATTAGTTAACATATTATTTGCTATACAATATTTCTAACACCATCGTTATCCTCCTCCTCCTCCTCCTCCTCCTCCTCCTCCTCCTCCTCCTCATTTTAGCATTATCTAATGGCTGCAGGATGAAGGCCTCTTCTGCATGTTTACAACCAAAATGGTCCTGAGTTTTCTTTTGCCAATTGGGCTCACAATACTTGCTGTTGTTATCAATCCATCTTAATATAGTACAATAATACAATAGCAGAGTTGGAAGGGAACTTGGAGGTCTTCTAGTCCAACCCCCTGCCTAGGCAGGAAACCCTATACCATTTCAGACAGATGGCTATCCAACATCTTCTTAAAGACTTCTAATGTTGGTGCATTCACAACTTCTGGAGATTTAGATTTTAGATTTTAGATTTTAG